AGGGTTCTTGATCCCCCTAAGTGTCCCTGGATCCCCAGAGCCGAAACCCAGCCCTGCCCTCCCATCACCCCCCACTCACCTTCTCCACGTCGCCCAGCCCCTCGGTGTCCAGCAGCACCAGCGTGTGGCCGGCCCGGCGGGGGTGGGGCAGGCACCACATCCAGATGCCCTTGGTGTGCGACTGCACCGTGGCGCCGAGCGAGAACCCTGGGGAGAGAGGGGCGGAGCTGGGACAGACGCAGAGCGAGGGAACCCAGGAGTCCTGGCTCCCACCCCCTCCCCCCTGCTCTAACCACTAGACCCCACTCCCCTCCCAGAGCCAGGGAGAAAACCCAGGAGTCCTGGCTCCCACCCCCCCTGCTCTGACCACCCCACTCCCCTCCCAGAGCTGGGGGCAGAGAGAGGCCAGTGGAACAATTGGCTAGCGCTGACCTGTCACCTCTGTCAACCCTTCCCCACTACCCTGGATCACCCCACGGGCCTGTAAGGATAAGGCCCTTGTCTGCAGCCATTAGCTAAGAAGCAGAAAGTCACATCCTCACATTCCATCAGGCTGGTAAGAAGGAGACCCCGTCCTAATGGCCCCCACTATCACCGGATACACAAACAGATCTTAAGATGGTTACAGAAAACTTAGTTTGGAACATCCTGTCTGGCAAGAAACCACTTATCAGTAGCTCATTACTTTATTGTTTTATCTTTATGGTCCCCACTTCCCTATTGTTTGTCTGTATGATCTCTGCCTGGTTCTTTGCTTGTTTCTGTCTGCTGTATAATTAATTTGGCTAGGTGTAAATTAATTAAGGTGGTGGGGGATGATTGGTTAGAGAATTTTGTTACACTATGTTAGGATTGGTTTGTAACATTTTAGTAAAATGATTGGTTAAGGTACAGCTAGGCAGGACTCAAGTTTCACTATATAAACTGGGGTCCATGAAGGAGACGAGCGGAGAAGAGATAGAAGAAGAAGAAGAAGGAGGAGGAAAGACCAGAAAGAAGAACTCACCTCAAAGACACAGCCTAAGATCAAAGCTGCTAAGAATTCTCTGCACGACCAGAATCCCTACGAGACTGACCTTGCTGGCCAACAGGGAAAGTCCGCTTGCCTGATCAGGATTGGTGACCAGAGCATTGTATGCTTAGTATGTGCATTCTGCTTCTTGGTAATTGTTAATAAATAGAGGTGAAGGATATTACTGTGTAAGGCTCTTTCTCTGGTAAAAGGTCCTGCAGCCTCGCTAAGAGTATGCCCATAGCCCCTGAAATTGGGTAAGGGTGGGTGCCCCCTAGAGTGTGTGAGTTACAGAGAATTTTGTGCGGGTAACAGATTTGGTGGAGAATGCGGGCAGCCTAAGGTCGTGTGGCCCGAACTGATCTAGCCTACACAGTAATAGCAACAGAATACCGGTGATACTCTGTCAAAAAGGGTTGCTACCTGCTCGGCAGATTGTTCACCCTGAAGCAACAGGAGGGAAAGGAAACAAAGCAAAGGGACCAGGAGGGGTGGGGGTTAGCTGAAGAGCCCCCCCCCTTGCTAAATGGGTAGCGGAACGGGGTCCATGCCCATGGGGACAAGATTCCTTCCAGGGGAGGGATGCCCTTGAGTCCGCCTGGAAGGGGTTTGAAGCATTCTGTGAGTGCATGAAGCCAAAACCAAAGGAAAAGGCTATGAAAGCACAGCTGGGTGGGAATTGCGCAAAGCTGTCACTAATCTCTCCGGCCTGGTAGCGCTCCAGGAAAGGCAACTGGAGGATTCCAGACTCGATTTGGATGTCATTAAGGATAATTTGCCTCGGTATAAGGCATCTGAGTGGGCCAGTGCCGTTTCAGCATTACACAATGTAACAGCGCTTCAGGCGGAAACAAGAGAGTGGGAGCAAAACCTGAACGGGGAGGGATCTACACTGCAGATGAAGCTGGGGGATGCTCAGGCAGCTGTCAGAACAGTGTTACAGGAAAATACGGATCGGGCCCGGACAGGCAGTGACCACACAGTCTGTAGGCAGCGAACAGAGAAACTGGAAATCGTGTTGGGAGCCTGGAAGGGCCCGGGGGAAGAGTGAGTGTGGGCCTGGGGGATACAGACACCTGGGAGGACACTTGGAATGGGGATAGTTGGATGGCTTCCGAAGAGAAAGATCCTGGATGCTCATACGCCCCCGATGCTTCCCCTGAGGGGCCCTACGCCCCTGCATAAAGGGACTTGCAGGGTTTGAAATTAAAAGCACAAATCAATCCCGTGGCTGCAGTTACCACAAGGGTGGTAACAAGAACAGAACTTGACCCAAATGATGTACAACGACGAAGGGAAATAAGGCAAAATATGACAGAGTTTTCTGATTTTAGCCCAGACCAGGTATAGGCGGCTGCTCAGTTAGTGGGCCCCTAGAAAGGGACCTGTGTCTGGACAGGATGGGGAAGGTATTGGCATGAACCGGGTGGTGGTCGGCAGATGATGAGGTTCTAGCCCTTCTGCCTGGGCAGCAGTACGCAGTGCTGAGGGGCGGTTAGGTGCGAGCGGTGTTCCTGCCACGGGATGGGGCTGGGCGAAGGACGCAATGAAGGTAGGGATGTCGGCCCAACAACCGGGGAAATTGTTCCATGTCACAGAACAGGCCCCTGTGACTCCCCGGAATTGGATGTTATTAAAAAGGAGATACTGGCCATGGCTGCCAGGTTGTGCCAGTAGGAACTGGAACGCCACCGGATTTCAAGACTTTAGCTTTTCAGACGGCATTGTTAGATGGTTTGAATTCAAGAAGGAGAGTGATTTTAGGACCCATAGATCCAGCTAGGGGATACTCGGAGTTGAAACAGGAGATTTTTTGAGCAGCTGTAGTTTTTCGAGACATGCAGGGAGAAGCGGGAAAAGGAAATAGGGAAGGGAGAATGGAGCCAGTACAGGCGGTAACTTTAGCTGACAATGGGCCCCCAGATCTCCAAGGGGAGCCGGGGGGAAAAGGGGCCGATGCACAATGGCATGTTAGAGGAAGAGGACGGGGAGATGCACTGGGCAGCAGAGGAACCAGAGGAAGAAATGGATCTGGACGTGGGTATCAGATGCAGAACAGAGGATGTCCGGCTGAAGGTGGGAAAGGTACATTGAGAGGGGAGGCGTGGAGGAAGCTCATGATGGCAGGGGAACCAGAAGAGAAGTGGGACGGGAAGCCCACAAGTGAGTTACTGCAGAGGGCTGCCCAGTCAGACAGGCGAGAGGAATTGATTGACGGGGTTCCTGTATCTCCCAGAACGGACCCCGAAGCATTGGCACCACCCCAATAGGGGTGCCCGGCTCCCCGGAGTCCCCCTGAGGTAGTGACCCAACTACAGTATGACAAGTGGGGGCGTCCCATTGTAGGGGCAATAATGGGGAAATTAGGGGAACAAACATGCCCCACTATGCTAACTGACACCGGTGCATCAGTATCTGTGCTTGGAGAGCAGTGGCTTCCCGGGGACGCTGAGGAAACAGAAAATTCAACACAACTAGCATCCTATACAGGGGAGACAATGAAAGCGTATATCACGAGACCGATCCTGACCCACACAGGGAATCAGGAGTCATGGGTAAAATACCTTGTTCAGAAACAGGATCAAACTGGGAATGGGGGTAAGGAGGATGGAGTATTGGGAACGTCGTACCTTAATGAGGGGAGACACATCATGGATTTAGCCAACGGGTTCCTATGGGCAAATAGTGAAGAGCCAGCAGAAACACCCACCCCCTCCATGAATGCTGTATGTAGGTGTGGGCTGTAAAGGCCCCAGAAGGAGGGAAAGCAGAAGAAGGGGACCCAGGAGTGGACAAGTTTCCTGGGGTATCGGCTGAAAATAAACTGGAGTGTGGGAAAATTGATGCTGAGGTTTGAACTGGAGGGCCTCACCCCCCTCCACAGCGTCAGTACAAGTATCCTCCGGAGGCAGAGGAAGGGATCAAATTCACCATTGACCGTTTGTTAGAACAGGGTGTTCTTGGGCACATGGCGAGTACTAATACTGCCTCGATGGGCCTGTACTGAAACGGGGTGGGAAGACCTGGCGAAGGACAGTGGATTTTAGAGCATTAAACGCAGTAGCCCCTGCCCCTGCCCCTGCCCCGGGAGTGGCCAAGTACCAAGGAGTCGCTGCAGTAGCAGAGTGGTTCTCAGTGACAGATTTAGCAAACACCTTCTCTGCCATCTCCTTGCACCCTGAGTCCTGGTACAAATTTGGGTTCACTTCCAGGGGACAACAGTTGTGTTTCACCAGAGTCCCCAGGGTTTTCATAATGCACCTGCAATTGGTCACTCCTGTGGTTAAGATGTGGGGGCAATGGACACCCAAAGCCCAAAAGAGGGTAATTTCCTATGCTGATGCTATACGGGTGCCTGGGGACCATAGGGGGTTGGTAGGACCACTGAGCAGATGTTACAGATCATTCAAGGCTAGCAGAGCCAAGGCCCAGCTGGTACAGCAAGAGGTAAAATACTCAGGGGTCATATCGGGAAAGGAGGGACAAACCCCAGATGCACAACGGGTGGAACTGATTGGAAAATGTCCTGCCCCCACTCATGTGGCATCCTTAAGAGCCCTTTTGGGAACCTGAACCTCTCGAGAGATGTCACCGAAATGTCACCCACTGGGTTTTCTCCTAAAGAAAGGGCAGCAGTGGGGGGCCTGATCAGGCAAAGGCATCACTGACCCTGAAAGAGGATTTGGCCCAGGCCCCGGCCCCGGCCCACATATCCAAAGGTGGGAGAACCATCCACCCTGCAACTGCCTAGTACTGATGTAGCGCTGGGAGCAGCGCTGTTACAGCAGCAAAGCACCGGGAAGTTACAAATCGTGGCCTATGGGTCCAAAACACGGAATTACACTGAGCAAAATGTCACCCCCTGCGAGAGAGAGAAAGAGTGCTGGGCCTTGGTGTGGGCCTTGCAGCGTTGGGAGTATATCACTGGAGGATCTAAAGTCATAGTACAGACAGTACGTTCCCCACTGAAATACAGAATACCAGGAAAGGCGCAGGAGGGGCAGGTATCTAACCCTAGGCTGGCACAATGGCCTCTGGCCCTTGTCAATGGAGGGAGAACCGTAGGAAAGGGAAAGGTGCTATCCCCTGCACCATGTGGCCTTGCAGTGCATTATTCCCTCTGGGAGTGGAGGCCCCGGGGGTCCAGAGTGAGGGGAGTCCCTGAGGGGGCCCACAGCAGAGACAGACGTGCTAAGGCTCAGAGAGGTGCGGCTCCAGGAGGTGGAAGGGCCTACGGCTTAAACCCCGAGAAAGAGCAGACCCCTAAGAAGGGCTGTTGCACTGAAGGGGGCTCCCCACAGGGACCGTATGGAAGCTGAGAGAGAGCACGAGTCCTGTGAGTCCGTGAGATGAGGTATCATGGCAAAGGTTATGATCTGCTGGAAACCAATGTCCCATCTAAATATGTGCATTATCCGTGCGTATGAAGTGATGAGAGTGTGCGGTATGGCTGTCACCAAGATATGCTGTGGGTTTGGGAAGCGCCCAGATATCAGCTCCCCAGAGACAATGTCAAGGAAAGTAACCAACGCCCGGGCGGGTGTCAAACAACCATCACCAGCCATTGTCCAGCAAGGAGCTACAATGCAATGACTCACCGGCATGAGGCCACACCAGGGGGACTGCTCAACCTCGCCTCGGGACTCAGCAACGCCCCCAGACATGCCTGGACTTGTGTTCCCCAAGCACATGGACTAAGGGTATAAAACAGAACACGGGGGCCCCATGCTGGGCCTTTCTCCTGCCCCCACCTACACTGCAAGCAACAAGGACACTGGGAAGACTGAAGTCTCCAACAGAGGGCACTGGCCCAGGTTTCTAGGGGGAAAGCTGTGTACTGTGAACTGCAATATCCAGTGGGGTGAGAAAAACTGCTCAGCCTAGATGTCACCCAGGCTAAGAGGGTTGGGAGTTTAGACTGCGGGCTTAGATTTTACTTGATTTTGGTAACTAACTCTGGACTTTTTCCCTATCACTTATAATCACTTAAAATCTATCTTTTGTAGTCAGTAAGTTTGTTTAACTTTTTATCGTTACCAGTGAGTTTGCCTGAAGTGTTTGGTGAATCTGCTCAGGTTTACAAAGGCTGGTGTATGTCCACTTTCCATTGATGAAGTGGGGAACCAATGAATAAATTTGCACTGTTCGTCTTGAGCAGTGCAAGACGGTACATTCCTGGGGTACAGTGCTGGGAGCTGGGGGGATTCGGCTGGTGCCTTTCCATGTGTGATCCATGACCGGCTCTGGGAGCGTTCATGGAATCTAGCTGGGTGCGGGCCTCCACATGCGGTTGTGCTGAGTGATCCCAGCGCTGGGAGGGGTTTGCTGCTGGTCACTAGCAAAGCATTGTGGGAGACAGCCCAGGCTGGAGAGCTAAGGGGGCCCAGCAGTCCCACAGTCCCAGGCTGCATCCCGGGAATCCCATCACGTACGGGACAGGTTATTATATCACCAATATGATCTCTACAGCAAACTGAGCTGGACCTCACCGGGTTAAATGGGTCCAGGGTCGTGCCTCAATGTGCCCCACATGTATAAACACTCCATACGGGGTGGGCAGCACGGTTACAATTATGGTATGTTGAAAAACCCGTAAGGAGTAGCATGTGTATTCTGCTTGGTAACTGTCAATAAACAGAGGAGAAGGATATTACTGGGTAAGGGTCTTTCCCTGCAGACCCACAAAGCGCACGCCCTGCGCCCTAGGAACTGGATACGGGTGGGCGCCCCCTAGAGTGTGTGTGTCACGTAGAATTTTGTGCAGGTAACAGGCCCGTCTAGCCTGGTATCCCGCCCCCTCCCTCCCCTGGGATCAGCCCCACAGGCCCGTCTACCCTGGTATCCTCCCCCATCCCTGCCCCCTGGATCAACCCCATGGCCCCATCCACCCAGTATCCTCCAGCTGGGCCGAGCGCCCCCCAGCGCTCACCTCCCCGATCCTTGCCGGCCAGTCGGTTCAGGAGGTAGGACTTGCCGGTGCGGTACAGCCCGGCGATGGCTACCACCACCACGGGCTGGCGGACGCTCTGGAGCAGGGCCAGGGCTCGCTGGTTCAGCTGCAGCTCCCCGTCCGGGCTGTTCTCGATCAGGCACATCGGCTCCTCCATGGCGCCTGGCTGTGCCGTGCTGGGGGCAACCTGGGGGCAGCAGGGCGGAGTTAGGCTGGGAGCAGGGGGGCAGGGAGGGGGCTGTTTCCACTCCCCCCACCAAAGGCAGCCAGGAGGGGGTTGGGGCTGGGCTGACGGGGGCCACTCACCTTGGCCAGGACCGGCAGGGCGGGTCGAGACGCCTGAAGCGGGACCACGCGCTCCATCTGTCCAGGAGAGACAACGGGGGGCAGATATATCATGGAGAGCGAGAGAGCGCGGCTGGATCCACCACCCGGCAAAGGGCTGACGCGCCCCGTCACCTGCCACAGAGCTGCTCAGCGCCTTTCCCCTCTAGGGGGCGCCAGCCCCGATGCACCCCAGGGCAGGGACGGGCTGGCTCA